GAATGTTTGTGATAAACTGAAGGATGAAGTGTTCCTTTATGTGTTGATGTTGAATGTTTATGATGAAACAGGAGAACATTTTACTGATCAATCAATACTTTGACTTTATCTACTTTGACTACATTTATATACTTTTGTAAGGTTATCAATGTTGGACTTTTACATTTTCACAGTGAGGTATTAGTACCTTTCTGCAGTAAAGGACCTGAATACTTCTTCCACCTCTGAGTTAGATTGATTTAATCATCTGAGACACAACATGCACATTTGGCTTGTTTGGATTTAGAAGAACAAATACACAGAAAACAGATTGAAGGAGTGAGACAAAGGCTTAGCTGTTAAACTTGGTAGATTATCTGGTATGAAGGAAATAAGTCTGGGGCCAACTAGCAGCCATTCAAAGACCAAAAGTAAACCCTGACTGAGCCACTACAAACTCAACAAGACATCATCAGAGTCCTTTGGTCTCCTTTTGCAGCTTCTAAAGGTCCTCATGTCTGCACTTCAAAAAGTCAAGAGGGTGCTTCTCCTGTCGTTTTGGTCCAAGAGCTCAGCTTCCATCTACTGAATCTAAACAATAAAACCTTTTTTTCTTCTTTAACAGAAGTAACACCTCCTATGGCAGGGGAAATATAAAATCAATCACGGAGTCGGGTAATATTCGAAGAACAAACTGAGAATTGAAGAGATTAAAGTGGTAACATTATGAGAAAAAAACACATAATCTCAAAGACAAAAAAGTTTTTTACTTGTCACTTTATTCTTACAGAATACCAGAGTTCTTTTCTCAAAATAAGACCCTCCTCCGCATGTCCGTAATAAAACTAATAGTAATAATAATAATAGTTGTAATAAATGCTACTAATGCTACGACATATAGAATCACAATAGATGAATGAAACTTGATTATTTCAGCCATAAAACTCAACTCTATTTCTTGATGTATAGTCAAGGGGAGGGGGGAGACCTGAGGAATAACATGCCATAAGTGAGAAGGACCAGCAACTTGCGTCAAACCTTGCAGCTCAAGAGGGTGTCGTAGCCTTTAGTTGGCAGCTGATGTTGTGAGTGGAGCTGGGTTACCTGCTGGGTGGATCTGCCTGTGAACTGGAGACTCAGATAGGGGTCGTCCAGTAGAGAGTTGAACAAGGCATCCTGGAAAACATCAAAAAAAATAATAATATTTACAATGAAACCTAAAAAACATGCCCTTTCTGACGGTGTTGTAGTCACTTACGCTGTGAATGTTTCTGACGGTGTTGTAGTCACTTACGTTGTGAATGTTTCTGACGGTGTTGTAGTCACTTACGCTGTGAATGTTTCTGACAGTGTTGTAGTCACTTACGTTGTGAATGCTTCTGACGGTGTTGTAGTCACTTACATTGTGAATGCTTCTGATGGTGTTGTAGTCACTTACGTTGTGAACATATGTTATCTCAATGTTTTTTTTTTATCTATTTGCACTTTATTATCTGTATTCACTTTATATGTTGGACTGGAGAGAAATATGTTGGACTGGAGAGAAACGTTTTTTCAACTCCTCTGTATGTTCGGTACATATTGAGAAATTGACAATAAAGCTGACTTTGACTGCGTCGGACGGTGTTGTAGTCACTTACGTTGTAAATGTTTCTGATGGTGTTGTAGTCACCTACGCTGTGAAAGTTTCTGACGGTGTTGTAGTCACTTACGTTGTGAATGCTTCTGATGGTGTTGTAGTCACTTACGTTGTGAATGCTTCTGATGGTGTTGTAGTCACTTACGTTGTAGAGGTCGGTGGCCAAGTTGTGGCTGATCTGCTGGAGCTGTGGCAGGCCGTCGGCTTGGTGCTGCTCCGCCTGTTGCTCGGTTTCCTGTTTGACGTGACACTGAGAGGAGCTCTGCACACACTGATCTGTCGGCCTCTCGTTCTTTATCAGCTGCGAGTTCACTGTGTTCACCTGCTGCTCCATCGGCCTCTGTTGCTGCAAAAAAAAGCACCGTAGTCACTTTTTCAGCTGAACTGCATAGGAGAATGTAATTTATTGATCTTTTCATCCATTAATTGACCTACCGATCCAAAGTGCTGCTGCATGTGCTGGTTTTGTGAGTTGCGTAGGTTCTGCATGTGAAGCTGCTGCTGCTGCTGAGCGTTAGGCCGCGGCTGCTGGAGGCGGTGCAGCTGTTGGTGGTGCTGGCTCATCGGAGAGGGTTGCTGCCCCGGCTGGGAGCCCTGCAGACCGGGGAGAGGCTGGTGGGACTGGCTGAGTGGGTACGGAGGGAGCCTCTGGTCCAGAGGGAGTTTGCTGGTGTCCAAAGGGACGCCCTGGAGGGGGAGGGGGTCGGACGTATCATCTCCGAGCATATGTATATATTTATCAATATATTGCCCAACTGGATGTTAACAGTGCCGATGTGATCGCACCACAATTAAAAGTTGTCTTTGCAGCAGTTTTGAAACTGGAAACCGTCAAAATAACCACAAAATACCAGACAGTGAAAATGAGCTCTCTTAATTTCCATGTCAAGTTAATAATAGCACTCTTAGTAGAAGCAATATATTTATTATTCTTCCTTAAATATTTTATTCTCTGTTGGAGATAAGGATGAAAGATTAAGAATAATCATCTTGACTGTGGATCAGAGTTTGATTGAGCTTTGAAATAATCAAACATTTAAACGTTTTGCAAGCAATACAGTTCAAGTCAGGTAAATAAACATAGTGTGAACATTTTATGCAAAATATTTAAACATTAAAAACTCTGAGACTCTGTGCAACAATATCACAGCACCATGTTTCCTTTTTTATTATTATCATCTTTAAGTTCTCTGAAGTGTTGATGTGCAAACTGGTTAATAATAAGGATCTAAAATGATTCTACGGATTATTTCTATTCCTCATTGATGAAGAAACACAGATCAGATACCTGTGTGATGGAGGACAGGGTGGGGGAGATGGTGGGGGAGAACTGTTTGTTGTGATGCCTTCGTGACTCCCCCCCCATGGGCAGGATGAGCGGGGAGAGCTGTGCCCGTCTCCGTGGTGACGTGTTGAGTGACGGCTGGTTCTGTCCGCTGAGCAGTGGCGAGTAGGAGGAGCCAGAGCTGTAGGCGGGGTTACCGCTGGACACCGACTGCAGGGAGGAGTTACTAAGGGAGGAGTGCAGCGATTGGCTGCTGAGGGAGGACGGCAGGGAGGGGGAGGAGCTGAGAGATGACTGCAGCGAGGGGTTGCTGAGCGACGAGTGCAAGGAGGCGGAGCTTAAAGAGTTGGAGAAGGAGTGGCTGCTCAGCGATGACTGGATGTTGGGGTTGCTTAGTGATGACTGCAGGGAGGGGTTACTGAGCGTGCTCTGTAGAGACGCAAGGAGACCTGAGGGGGACAAAGAAACACCTATGAACACAAAGGTCCTCTCAGACAAAGAAACATGAGACCTGGTTTAGGACCAGAACCAGGAACAAGACCTATGCTCCTCCAGCTTGGGTTTTCAACATCTTATCTTTCCTTTCTTAGGCATTCAAACTACAAGCTATCAACTTGAGTGTTTCAGGTTCCCCTTGAGGCTCCAGGTGACACGACAACACGATGATCCAGACTCCGGTTAAGAGAGTCGGGCTTTAGCCTCACGTTGAGCCGACAGCAGCTTCCTGTCACCTGACTAGTGATGAAACATTTTCCGACTGCACTTCCGCCCACAAAAACCCTCCCTTTTCTCTGTAAAGGCTAAACCTAGAGCTGTAAATCCCCCGTGGTTTCATCTCTTCCACTCTCACCCACAGACTTCCTCTGCTAACCTTCACATTAGTCACTTAGCTGAGACCTTGATCCAGATACCACCGTCTCTACAAACTGAACCATGACTTTGAGAGTTTCTCCATCGTGACCTTAACATAACAGTGAAGAGCTAAACTAAACCCGGTCAGCCCACTGAGACTGAATTCTTTTGATTGTTTATTTAATCCTCAATTCGATCGGTCGACACCGATCAGAACCTTCATCAGTCCAGAGATCTTAAAGTGGCTCTGTGTGTACCTGGTGTGTGGTGGTGGAAGTTGCCGTTGCCTCCCTGTGAGTTGGCGGCATTGATGCCCAGCTGAGTGAGGGTGGAGGCCAGGTTCCCTGTGCTGCCCCCCCCGCTCAGAGAGGAGGATCCTGGGTAGCCGGGCTCATCCTGATCCAGTGGTGTGGGCAGCGGGGAGGGGAAGTGGAGGCTGGACAGATCCGGAAGAGAGCCACCGGTATTGAGGCCTGACGGGACGCCGTGAGTCGGAGTGGACGGCTGCTCCGGCGTCGTAAAGATACTGAAAGGAAACACAGCGGGTTAACGTCTGATATAATGTAGCTTCATAGTCAGCAGTCAAATACAATGAATGTTTTCATACAATACTATAACCCTATCAAACCCTAAACCCTAACACCCTAACAAACATCTGATACCACTGTGTCGTCTTCGTATTATCGTATGAATTTGATAATATATAATAATATGATAACTTTCATTGTACACATATGGTTATGACATTATGCATTGTGTGATGTGCTGTATGAAAGGAACATGGAACATCAGGTGAGGGATACCGAACGGTTAATAAACTTGTGACAACACCGGTGTTACCGATAGAACCGGAAACTTTACAGAAAAAGATGAAATTAAAGCTGCGAGCAGCGATGAACGAGCCTTCGCATCTTCCAGCGTGTTGGGGGTGGCGGCGGGACTCCGGCCTGCACGGCCGAGAACGTCTGTGACCGTTGGACAGCGCGTCCGCGAGCGAGACGTTTTTAATCCCGCGTGGACCGCCTGATGCTGGAAATGATGCTTTGCAAATAGTCCGATGCTTCCTGTATCCGCTGCCTGGTGCTACAGAACACGTGCATTATGTAGCTCTATATCAAGTGTAAACCACATTGTGTAAAAGTCATGTAAATCGGATGGTGTTTGTCAAAAAACGCAGATCTCCTTTCACCAGCAGGTGGCGCTGTGAGTATTAGGGAAAATTAGCTTGTCGACATCCTCAGGCCATGAGTGTTATCAAGCATGTGAAGTTTGGGACCGTTTGTCCAGCTGAGTTACATCAGACATTTCCTTTAGCCAGTAGGCTTCGCGGGTTTACTGTAGCGCCCCCTAGTGGTCGAATGCTAAAAAATTCTCAGGGTATGTTACTGGATGCGATGTGCACATATGCTGAATATTTTGGGAATTTAGAACAAATGGTTGAGATGTTATGTGTATTGATATATTGCCACGCCCCTAAGAAGTGAATTGGTCCATATCTTGTAAACGCAAAGATATATACAAAAGCTTTTGATAACTTTTGATGATCTAGATCCAATTATGATCCACAGTAAATTTCGTAGAAATCGGACCCAGCGTGTAGGAGTTCGCAAAAATGTGTTTTTTTCACAAAATTCAAAATGGCTGATTTGGGTTGGGTTTAGAGCTTGGAGCCCCAAGGGCTTTTTTATAAGTCTACATGTGATACATCTGTTTACCAAATGTTATACATTTAAATTTTAAATATTGATAGTGAAACGTACTGCGAGGGCTGCATCGTCGAAATATTATATAAATTCATACAAAATTGAAAATGGCCGACTTCCTGTAGGGTTTGGAGCATGGTCCAAAGAGACTTTTCTTTAAGGCTCCATAGGATACATGTGCCTACCAAGTTTCATATATGTAGCCAAAACATAGCGCTGGGGCTGCTCTTTTGAAATATTGTAGGGGGTGCTATAGAGGCAATTTAAAACGGCCAATAAAATAAATCATATAAACTATTTCTTCCTATGACCTGTGACACATGTACAAAGTTCCATGAGTTTTTGAGCATCCCAATCCACTAAACCATCAGCTTCCCTTTTCATGGTGAACGATGCGTCGCCGCGGCAACAGCGTTCAACGAAAACTCACAAAATTCATGATGATGCATCATCAATGTCTTATGGCTATCCTTACCAAATTCTAGACTCATCAGGTCACCTGGCTAGGAGGAATAATTAAAAGTATAAAATATGACATTTCCTTTAGCCAGTAGGCGGCGCTATGAGTCATTGAATTGTTTTGAATTGAGGTCTGTTCAAGCTTGAAGTAGCATCATGCATAAGAAGGTTTGTGCAGATTGGATAATGTACCTTGGAGTTATAACAACTTCCTTTTTCATGCCGAATGACACAAAATGGCCGCCACTCCACGTCAAGTTTCTTCGACGAAAACTCTCGATTTTGATAACTTTTAATCACAAAGGTCTTAAGAGCATCCTGAGCAAATTTCAAGAAGATTGCATAAATTCTGTAAGAGGAGTTCGTTAAAGTACGAGGGCTGAAAAATGCGAAAAGTGACAAAAAACACAACTTTGCGGGTTTACTGTAGCGCCCCCTAGTTGTCGAATGCAAAATAATTCTCGGGGTTTGTTACGGGATGCGATGTGCACATATGCTGAAAATTTAGGGTATTTAGGACAATGGTTGAGAAGTTATGTGTATTGATATTATGCCACGCCCCTAAGAAGTTCATTGGTCCATATCTTGTAAACGCTAAGATATATAAAAAAGCTTTTGATAATTTTAGATGATATCGGTCCATTAATGATCCACAGCAAATTATATAGAAATCGGACCCAGCATGTAGGAGGAGTTCGCAAAAATGTGTTTTTCACTAAATTCAATATGGCGGAAAATCTAAGGAGGCGGAGCTTAGGGGTCTGATTGGCTTTTTTGTAGATCTAGTGGATGTGGGTATATGTGTTGAATTTCAAGTAAATCGGACATACTGGCCGAGGGGCGTCGCCGGTCCGACTTGTAGGGGGCGCTAGAGAGCCATTTCTTGACACAGAAAGATGCATTATTTTTCAGATGGCTATTTTCACCAAGCCCCAAAAGTCCCCAAAATTTGGTGATTTTTCATGCATGGCAAGTCCCCCAACCATGCGTACGTTTACCCAAACGAGTACAATTTCAATAGGGCCTTCGCTGGCCCGACATTGTCCGTTGCTCGGGCCCTAAAAAGAGACTCTCTTAATGAAAGAGTTCGTCGTCCGACTCACTTGATGCCGGGGACTTCACAGGACTTTGGTCGGGACGACAACAGAGGCAACTGGAGAGAAAACAAAAGTGTGTTTTTATCTTTAATTTACCTTTTCAAAAACTGAAACAGAGATTTCAAAATGATAGCAGTCATGTCTGATAGCATTATCAAACATAACTTTATCATTTACAAAACTCTTTACACACCAGATTTTCACATTTTGAGATGTTGATAACAAATATATATATATATTGTGTAATATTTTTTTTTGTATTTTAGTTTGAGGTTAATAACAACTTTTAATACACCTGCCAGAAAAACAAACTGACTAAATCCTTCAGTAAATTGTTCATTAACAGCTATTTGCATAACAAATGTGCCAAAGAATGTGTACAGACAATATTAATGAAAGAGATTAAAGAATAACACAAATACCTTCTTGGTGTCCCAGGGTTTGAGCAGCTTCCCCTCATCCAACACATTCTCTTCAATGGGGGGCACCGGGTACGGAAACACTGAGGGGACAAACATCATCACATAGATTCAGAAGGAGATGGTTGTCCCTCGTCTTACATTATGTGTCAGTCACAGTGTGATTCACATGTTGAAAGGTGTTTAAGGAATGTAGCTGTAGTGAAGACTGAAGTGGAGCTTCGACCTCGGACCATCACATGTATGACTTTCTTCTGTAAGATCTGTGATTGTAGAAGTTAACCAGGAAGAGTGTTGAGCCATATTCTAGTAAAAAGGACGAGTCCTCTCACAAAGCTCAGTATGGTTTCACTTTTGAGAGGAAATGATCTCATGTTGCAAATCGAAGGTTTGTTGCCAAATAATATGTGAAAGTTACAAGAAGTACTTGTTTCTACAGATATTCATACTTTAACGTAACGTCCCGTCTCCTCACACTGTTTGCTCCTCCAACGTTTATCGAAAATACATTGAAAATAATCAGCAGATGAGTCTTGAGTTCTTTGAGTAACTTCCACATTGATAATTACTTTGTGCACACGTTTCATTTATCAGTTTCTCAACTTGTTCCTACAAATTCAAAGAGGTGAAGTTCAATCAAAGGCTTTGAATTTCTTTCTGAACATTATTTGAGTCCATACATGTTTTATCAAAAGTAAGGCTATTTAAAACAAAACAGTGAAATAAACTCGCTAGATTGTGTTCATGAGTTTAGATCTTTGAAAGTTAAACTGCCTGAAAGCTGACAGTGGATTGTGAAAGTGTTTTATAAAACTCACTTCTTCTGCCTTCTCCATCACTCTGACCTGCAGGATCACAGACAGACAGACAGACAGAGAGACAGAGAGACAGACAGGTTGGCTTCTTTTTAGAATAAACCAGACAATCTGTCAGAAAACAGAGAAGAAGAAGTAAAGAAACAACCCGTTGATCAGAAACATGAGAGAATGTGTCTGTTCCATCATGTTTCATGCTGTTCCACAGGATGTTGATTGAATTTTGTCGTTCAGCTTTTCTAACAACTGGTTTCACACACATCTGTGTAACATTCTACGTTTACATAATAAAAGGAGCAGCACGGTGTTGCTCTTTAGTTCCATACATGGATCACTTTTACATTAACGTCTTCACAACTTCTCAGAGCCGGATAGTCAAGACTTAGGGAACACATCGGAATCACATTTTCTGAGCTGCAAATCAAGATTATTTTATTTACGTGACCAAGACTGGTCCATTTTATTCAATTCAGATGCTGAAATCCTTGCGCATGCTTTTCAGCGCATTAAGAACTGATTAGAGTAATCCACTTCTCTGCAGCCTGTTTATGACAACAAGGGTCTTCATTCAGTCATAAACATAGAACCAAAGAACTCATTAGATCAAAGAAATAAGATCATATTACACCAGAAATAACAGCTGGGACAACAGATAAAGCTAAACAATAGACAGGATTGTTATGTAGTTCACAACAAAGGTGTAAATATAAATATTAGACCATTTTATTACAAAAAAAGACCAATGAACTGCAACTACAGTGCAGATGCTTTGCTGTTCAGCATTTGTTCTGCTAATATTCTTGCTTTTCTTTGAGTAGCAGGAGCTACACATTTAAACATTCCCCTGAGCTCCTCAGCACGAAGCCTCGACTGCACCAACTGGAAACATGCTACTAAGCTAAAGCTAATTAGCAACAAGAAGCCTGCTTCACTGCTGCAGAACCTGGATCTCCATCTGAGGACCTGGATACCTTCTCCACTTCACACTGCAGGACGAGGACTAAAATAGGACTAAAAGTAACACAGAACCTGGGAGGCTGGAGGGAAAGCTGTGATTGTGGAGGACTTTATGTTAAAGTCAGTAAACGCTCTGACATATCGAAACATCTAATGTAATGTTACGGTTAGCAGAAGAGGAGCATTGAGCATCAGACATCTGAACCAAGTTCATCTTCAGTTTGAGTGTTTCAAAATAAAACATGTCTATCTGACCAACATTTATGAGCAACATGTAGATGTTGTTTCTGAGTGCTGCCTCACCGCTGCGTCTGCTGCTCTGGGGGGTGAGACAGGGGGTTAGGGTTAACCCTCCTGTGGTGAAGGGGTCTCCTGTGGGAGGGTTCATCACGCTGGTGTGGAGGGCTGAGTCAGAGTTTGTCCTGAGAGGAAAGAAAAACTCATATATAATATAGCGTGTGGGAGAAGTATAGATAAACTAAAGCAAGACAAGCTAACAGATGCTACAGAGAAGTGGAGACAAACTGCAGGTTAGTGTTGTGGAAGATGTCGGTCTGAGGAATGTTCTCAAGGTGCGTTCACGTCGCGTTTGGTGTGAAAGCACCTTTAGGATCTCAACGAATGACGTCACGTATGAGCCTCAAGACGCACCGTCACAAGAAGAACACACGAGTTGTATGAAAGGAGAGGACGACTAAAGCGACGGCGTTACAACGTGCAGCAGCTGCTGCTCTCACTGGAGACTACTGGACATCGCTGGGTCACCATCATCACCTCTGAGTTACAGCATTATAGTGATGAAGAGTAGAGCTGCATTCACATGCTCTGACTGTCATGAAGACACAACACACATGTAGATGAAACGTGTGAAACATGTTCCTGTTGCACAGCAGTGGAACGTTTCACACACAGTCACACACTGAGCACAGATAGTGAAGAGATAGAACTGCTGCTGTGTAAAGAGAATACTGCTGCTAACAACAACCCAATTTGTGTTTAAACCAAATGTTATTGACCTTTGTTCATAGAGCAGTACTTTCAAAATAAAAGTGCGCAATACACTACTTTTGAATTCATTATTGAATTTTGCGCATAACAATGAGATTAATCGCGATAAATTGTAATCGTTGCCCAGCAATATATATATTTTAGATAATTAATTTCTAGATCAATAACTTCAGTTTTGTCTGAGTTTAACATAAGGAAGTTGCAGGTCATCCAGGTTTTTATGTCCTTAAGGCTGCTTGAAGTTTAGCGAACTGGTTGGTTTCATCTTGATCGATAGATATGAGTATCATCTGCATAACAATGAAAGTTTATGGAGTGTTTTCTGATAATATTGCCGTAAGGAAGCATATATAAGGTGAATAAAACTGGTCCAAACACAGAACCTTGTGGAACGCCATGACTAACGTTGGTGTTCATCGTTTACAAACTGAGATCGATCTGATAAATTGGACTTAAACCAGCTTAGTGCGGTTCCTTTGATGCTGATCAAATGTTCTAGTCTCTGTAACAGGATGTAATGGTCAATGGTGTCGATCGTTCTGTTAATGATGAGTAACAGGCTGCTCTAACCTTCGTATATGTTTTAAGACCCCTTTGTTTTACTGTGTTCTTTTTTTAGGGGGCAATAGTAGTCCACTGAATAGACGTATTAATTGTACATAAAGTAATCTAGTACTCTACCATTCAATATTGACTCCAGCACTCTTTGGATCTATTCATATTCTCTGATGTTATTATGCTGTTGATGCCAACAGTTCCTTCTCAGTGAGACACCTTGTCTTCTACAGTGAAGGCTGTGAGTGATACTCAGAGAGAAGATGGTGGATCACCTTTTGGACGCACTCGTCGAAGAACTCGAGGCAGGCGTGTCGGTCGCTGACGAAGGAACACTCCTCAATGAACTGGGTGAACATCTGAGTCCTCGTCAACTGACCGTAGATCTTCTGCTGCGTTCGATCCCGAGACTTCAGGAAACCTGCAGGAGGTCATCAGTCACAGTCCTAATCAATACTCTGGTAAACCATCATCAGTCCTGATCAATACTCTGGTAAACCATCATCAGTACTGATCAATACTCTGATAAACCATCATCAGTCCTGATTAACACCCACCGCCACACACTCACCCTGCAGGTTGAACAGTGAACTACAGTCCGTGGTGGTGTCAGAGGGAGCCTGGGTGATGGGCAGCAAGAAGCTGCGGTAGCCTCTCAGCAGGCAGCTCATGAAGAAGAGGAAGGCCTCCTGGATCTCCAGCTCCAGCTGCTTCTGGCTCTGGTAGATCTGGTCGTAGTCGGTCAAAAGGAACTCCAGTGTCGCCTCCTCCTGGCCGGGAGTGCAGACTGCAGGAGGAGGAGGAAAGAGTGTTTAATAAGAATCATCTCATGAACTGTAGAGACACTCTCTGATGACAGGAAGTGAGTCTGTTTGAGGCTCCTGATGCTGACAATGGGTCAGAGGTCTTATAGATGATTAATGTGGGCTGTACACAGGGGGTACTTCTCAAGTCTCTTAATTGCATCCCCGTTTCCCTCACTTGTGTCCTTTCCTTGGCGTCTTAGTCCCTCCCACCAGGGATGCATGGAGGAAACCATGCGAGGAGAGAGGAACTAGGAAATATGTTTTAGGAGACATGAGACGTCCTTTCCTCAGTTGCGTCACGTGAAGCGACGTCTGTTTCTGATGACGGAGGATCAGCTGATCACAGCTAGATCAGCTGATCAGCTGTCAGTCGGCTTTAACAGCTGGAGAGACCTTTGATAAGTTAGTGTGTGTTCACATGATCACTGCACTTAATAACAGTAACTAATAATACTAATAAAGACACAGTAATCACCACTGTAGAGGTGTTTCTCTCTGTAGTCTGTTAACAAACTGTGTCCTGTGTTCTGTTTATAAGCTCAGGATCCATTTCTACTGGCGGAATGCGATCGTCTTATTTATGAATTACTTGCGTCTGTACGTTTTGAAATTGTGACTGTGACGTCATTATTAAATAACCCAGAATATGATTATTGTTTCTCAAACACTCAGGAATGATGTAAAAAGTGTTTCGTCTCTCCAGCTCTCTCTGACTTTAATTGTATTCATAATAAAGTTATTGAGGGAAACAGATCATGAAAACACAAATCTTTCTAATAAATGTAGAAAGTTGTTTGTGGTCGTTTTGTTGTTCAGACTACAATGAACATTTATTTAAACCAGATGGTGAATCAGAAACCTAATCAAATATAAACTAGAGTTTATTCTGTGATCTGTCTTCACTCTGGTGTTAAACTCAGTCAGTCAGTCCGATCAGCTGCAGCGTCCAATCACATGACTGATGAACAATGAGGGGGCGTGTCGGCCGGTAAAAGACTTCCTGGAAGTCTGTTCTCGTGGGTCCTCGCTCATGGCTCCCCCGAGGTCCCTCCTCTCTCTTCCATCCTCGCTCCTCAGAGCTAAATAAGAGCTTTGGGACGGCTGTCAATATGGCAGCGCAGAACAACTTACGGTTCAAGCGAGGAGCGAGGAAACGACACTTAAGAGACTTGAGAAGTACCCTGGATGAATGAGTGAAGTAGAAGAGAACAAGCCGTCATCAGAGGAACTTTATTTTGAAAAGCCTGAGCTGTCTCACTCTTCTCCAGCGTCTTGTGGAGGCCGCTGAGGGTGTTGAACAGAGTCTTTCCGTGTTTCCTGGGTAACGATCGCCATGACAACGGCTTCTTGTCCTCTGACCTGAGAGAGAAAAATTAAAGTTTCAGTAAAATCCCAAAACAACAACTTTTTTTTATCATAAGTACATCTAGTCAAGTACTGTACGTAGGTGAAGTATTATTACAGATTAAACCACCAGCAGTATATAAAGAAAAGAGAGTAAAACAATGTAAAAACTCAGAACCAGAGTTCTCTCTTCATAAACCTCTGATGTAAAGACAAGTACTACAAACAAGTACCAACAGTAGTACTACTGCTTTTACTCAAGTAAAGTTCTTAATGAAGAGTATTTCCACGCTGCAGTTATTACTAAGATCTGAGTACAGTGAATTTCCCAGAGTGTACATTAAAATATATATTTATATGAGCGTTGTTGGATGGAGGTCGATGCCTCTACATGTGTGTATGTATATATACACATATATATACATATATACGTATATATACATACATATACACATATATACACATACATATACACATATACATACATATACACATATACATACATATA